CAGGAGATCAAAGATGTACCGGACAGTGCCAGACTCATGAGGGTCATGGCAAAACAGGCGACCAATAAGGTCAGCTCTATCAAGCTGCCTGATGGCAAGTGTACCCAAACTGGAGAAGAAACACTAAGGAACTGTTCAGAGTTCACTTCCCTGATTCAAAGTTGATTGATGATTTGGTTGATTAGCGGGGCCAGTAGAATTTGGACGTATGTGGATACATAACGAACAGGGTAGACTGGAACCTGGCTGGTCAGGTAATCAATCAATCAAATTTCAGATGGGCGTTAGGTACCTTCAAACCATTTAAGTCGGCGGGAACAGATGGTATTGTACCGGCACTTCGGCAGCAAGGAGCGGAACATTTAGTCCCACACCAATGCCGCAAAATTAGATCCTGCAAGGCGCATGGGTTTATCCCTGCGGCCTGGAGGCAAGTTAAAGTGACGTTTATTCCGAAGCCCGGGAAACTTGATTATACCGAGGCTAAAGCTTGTCGTCCTATTAGCCTGTCTGCTTTCCTTTTGAAAACGATGGAGAAAGTGGTAGATAGACATATTAGGGAAGGTGCATTGCAAATTCATCCTCTGCACCGAAACCAACATGCTTACCAAATAGGTAAATCTACTGAAACTGCATTGCATAATGCAGTAACACGTATAGAGAATGCCATTGAACACCAGGATATTGCTCTTGGAGCTTTCCTTAACATAGAAGGAGCCTTTGACAGTACCTCCTTTAATACAATAAAACAGGCTGCTGAAGGGCATGACATTGAGCCCGCAATATGCAGATGGATCTGTGCCATGCTGGAGAGCAGGAATATAAGTGCTACATTATCTGGACAGATCCTGGGAGCGTCTGTGGCGAGAGGGTGTCCGCAGGGGGGCGTTCTTTCACCTCTCCTGTGGAGCCTGGTCGTGGATGATCTTTGGGAGCTCAACGTTAAAGGCCATTTCACAGTAGGATATGCTGATGTATAGCAATCCTAATTAATGGGAACAGCCCTGTATACAGCTCAACAGTACAGGCCACTTCACAGTAGGATATGCTGATGTATAGCAATCCTAATTAATGGGAACAGCCCTGTATACAGCTCAACAGTACAGGCCACTTCACAGTAGGATATGCTGATGTATAGCAATCCTAATTAATGGGAACAGCCCTGTATACAGCTCAACAGTACAGGCCACTTCACAGTAGGATATGCTGATGTATAGCAATCCTAATTAATGGGAACAGCCCTGTATACAGCTCAACAGTACAGGCCACTTCACAGCAGGATATACTGATTTATAGCAATCCTAATTAATGGGAACAGCCCTGTATACAGTTCAAAAATGTATGGAACAAGACTGGGTTTGGTGATATCAACAACCTTCATAAAGCATTGAAATGACATGAGAACTCTCAGACTCACATTATTTCAACAATGCAACTTGTTATGTTCGGGAAATCTCGAATTGACTTATCAACTTGACAATCAAAAGCGCCTGACGATAATACATACAGAAACACTTGATTGATATCATGCCTGCATGGTCATGATGAAAGCGTGGATTCTATTGACCGAGGTAATTATGTGGAATTAGTTCACTTGTTGAGGAAATATGATCATAAACTCAATGTTCACCTTGAGAACAGTACAGTATTTACAGGTTTATCGAACAGAATACAAAACGACCTTATTGACTCAATAAGTGACGTAAATTCTGGTGAGTTGATTGCTATCAGTTCGATTATTAGATACCACTGCTTCCCTAACCAAAAATATTACCGCACACCACTGCTTAGTACACACCAAATCACTTCAAAGTTGGTTTGGGACTGCCACCAATCAATCATACAACTGGCCATACATAACAGAGTACAACTGATATGGGTGCCAGGTCATGAGGGTATTGTAGGGAATGAAACCGCAGATCAGCTGGCAAGAACAGGACCCGAACAGCCGTTCACAGGACCTGAACCAGCTTGCGGTATCTCAGTAGGAGAGTATTGCTGGGAATGAAACCACAGATCAGCTGGCAAGAACAGGATCTGAACAGCCGTTCATAGGACCTGAACCAGCTTGTGGCATCTCAGTAGGAGAGTATTGCTGGGAATGAAACCACAGACACACTGGCAAGAACAGGATCTGAACAGCCGTTCATAGGACCTGAACCAGCTTGCGGCATCTCAGTAGGAGAGTATTGCTGGGAATGAAACCACAGACACACTGGCAAGAACAGGATCTGAACAGCCGTTCATAGGACCTGAACCAGCTTG